CTGCTCCTGCCCAGCCAACAGAAAGCAGGGGCAGCCTCCCTGCAAACACCTGCAAGTAGCCTTGGTGGTGATGTTTGGTATGGACACAAATGAGCTTTGATTCTTTCCTCCTCCTTGTCAAATGACCATCGCACCAGAGAACCAAGAACAGCCTGCCGGAGTTTGAGGAGTCCTTCTATCAGTATGGAAAAACACAGCACCGTTCCTATCCCTTAACACTGACATTTAAACAAGGATAATATTTGTCTAGTCACTGTTCAACACTGTACCAGAGGACGTGCACTGGGTCTTCTGATCAGGGCACAGACGTGGCAGGCAGCAGGGACGGGCACATCTCTCCTCACTGAGCACAGGAGCTGTGACTTAGCAAAGGAGCTTCGGGAAGCTGTCCGCATCCCCCAAGTTTGCCCTGCCTGAAAGTGTGCATTTATTACATAATGGAATGGCAGTCTAGGCTCCGGAAAATGGCACCAGACCAGCATGGACAGCAAGTGCATGAAGCTCGGGACCCAGTGTAGTAACAGGGCCGGGAGCTGCGTGTGTCCACAAGGGTCAAATGCACTGTATGACCTCAGAAGGGCCCCCCCCCTGCCCTCTGACCCCCAGGCCCAGAGTCCACCCCCAGTAAGCCCCAGCCCCCAAAGTTAAGTGTCTCCAGTTGAGTCACATCATTTGTAGAAATGGAAAATGCCAAACCACCCTGCCTGGTAGTAAGTTCCCTGTGGTCATAACAGTCACTTTTGAATACCAGGGATCAGTGAGGAGAGGAAGCCAGGTTGCCCCTTCCCAACAACCTGCTTCAATTCCCCACTTTCCCCTCTCCCCTCTCCATTAACTTAAAATCTGCAAAGTTGCTACCAGTTGGCCCTGGGGCTGCCTTTCCCAGTCAGGGGCTGCTTGTTAGAGGACTTCTTACCTCTGTCAACAGTAGATTTATTCTTTCTCAGCTGTGGGGGGCAGGGCGGAACAAACTACCTTGTGCTGCAGTTTCTCCTTTTTCGGAAATATTTACATTTTTAACAACCGCCAAGGAGCCAAGCACCTGATGTAAAAAAGCCCTCTTTCTTTCATTCTATTAAGTTGCCTGATTTTCCTCTTTAAAATATATATATATATATATATATATATATATATATATATAAATTCTTCAAGCCCCGATCTTCCCCTGTCCTCTTGCCAGCTACAGGCTCATTGAAATCCAGCCCAGCTCTCCCAGACAGGAGGAGGGGGTGGGGGGAGCCAGCTACACTTGGAAAAAATAAGACTGGCAAACGGGCAGTGAGTGCAGGACACTGGGTTCAGGATCAAGCGTGCCCTGGGCCCTTCTGATCACTCTAGGACCCTGTCTGCACAGGGAGTGTGCTGGGATTCTTGACAGCCGCCAGGAACCCACGCCTGGTTAATAACACCAAGGAGGCAAACACACACACAATTTGTCTCCTGCTTCAAGCCCAAGCTGTGGGGATGCGCAGAAGGCACACAGTCGGTGAGACCTTTCTCTGCTGTCCCTTTAACTCCTTGTTAAGCATTTAAGGATTCAAATTTTAAAAGGGGGAAGAAAGAAGCCTGCAAAAGGGAAAATGATCTAAAAATACCATCGCCACTGTACTGAATCAACTGGCAAACTCTGAGCGGCTGCTCGCCTGCACTCCAGCCTTGGATCAGCTGAAGTCAGTGCTGGCGCTGGAGGCCAGGGCTGCTGAGACAGACGAGACGACAAAGTTCACTTACCCATCCTTTGTCATCCGACAGCCTCTGCCCACTCTCAGCGTCCCTCTCAGTTGGTCTCTGGCGCTGAAGCCACCACCTTCATGTCACAGTGCGGCTGTCATTGGTGCCAGCCTGACCCCGCATGTGGGCTGGTGGCTCCATGCAAACTTCCTGGGAGAGGACAGCGTCCACCGGCGAGGTCTTGCATACAGAGTCCACAGAAAGCTGACACCCGCTGGGGGCGCGTGAGGAGGGAGCCCGCCCGAGGGGTCCCTAGGCTGTGAGGACCGTCCTGCCATTCACCAGAGCCCCATCAGCAGGAGCGGGCGACGGGTGGGAGGCAGCCCGAGCCCATCCCCAAGGCAGCCAACTTCTCCGCACAGAGAGCGAGGGGGGACCCTTCCGCATCCCTGGCATCACTGCCCGCGCCCGCTGTCCCCATGCCCAGACGCGGCAACTCCCCTCCGGCTTGTCCGCCGCTGGATCCCGCAGGCCTCCTGCGCCCCAGGAGCCCCCCAGTTTCCAGGCGGCGCAGGCTGGCCCACTCCTTGGGGCTGGGCAGGTCTGAAGTGGGGAGCTGTGCTGAAAGGCAGCCCTGGGCGAATTCAGAAGGCTTTGCAGAGACTGACGATGCTCACAGCTTGTTGGTGCTAATGCTGGAGTTTGTGATACACTGAGTGCCCTCCACTGGCGAAAACAGATTGCACATTAAAGACAGGAGCAAGGAGCCTGTCAGGGTGTGCAGTCTCCCCACCCCCACCAGGCAGGGACGTTAAAGGCACAGGCCCGCGTCCCGCTCCTCCCTAACACACGGTTTATGCCAATAGGTTCATTTCAGTCAGTGACATCAAAAACTGACCAAGAGCTGCTTCTCTAAATATCCTACATTGCATGCAATAGCACTTTAAAGTTACCTAAACTTGATGGCTTTTCCCTTGCTGCAAACATCACAGGGCATTGATCCACTTATTTCTTTGATAGCCATAATTTGAGGTTCAATTTTGTTGGGGTTTTATTATAATATTAACTTTAAACACATACAGTAGCAGTCTTCCTCAGAGGGGGAAAGAGACCATTTAATCACTTGATGCTACATTTAAACATTTCAAATCTAACATTTACATTTGCAAGCTCTGATAAGAAAATAAGAGGTGCTGGAATCCCATGTGTTATCTTGCACAGTGACGATCGTTCCTTTCTGAAAATACATTTTTCGTCAAGAAGTTTGTACCTTCAATACTATTAGTTCTAATAAGAGATTTCGAAATGAGCAAGCAAATTTTCAAATTAACCTTCTTAGTACACTGACTTACCTTGAACAAGGTTCCACTTACAATGCCTACTATTTCTTATGCAAATCACTCCATGTGCAATTTTAAGAAAAATAAGCACATTTAAATTCTATCATGTTTCTTGATAACTGAAGAAATCTCAGAACCAAGTTTGTTGTTGTTGTTGTGTGCTGTAGAGTTGCCTGTGACTCATAGCAACCCTATGTACAACAGCCCTAAACCCTGCTCTATCCTGTGCCAAACTTAGTCTCCAAGACACCTCCCCCCATTACCCCAGTCACTGAATCAATCCATCTCATCAAGGGTCTTCCTTTCCTATGCTTTCCCTCCACCCTCCCGAGCATAACATCCTTCTCCAAGGACTGGTCCTTTCTTGCAACATGTCCAAAATATGTCAGATGAAGCCTCAGAAACCTTGCCTCCAAGGAGCAGCCTGGTTTAACCCTCTCCAGGACTAACTTGTTCATTTTCTTAGCAGACCATGGTATATTCAACATTCTTCTCCATCACCACAGCTCAAAGGCATCAATTCTCCTTCTATCCTCCCTAGTCATTGTCCAGCTCTCTGATGCATAGCAAGTGATTGCAAAGACCATTCCCTGTATCAGGCACACCTTAGTCTCCAGACTGACATCATTGCTTCTTTAGTGCTCTAAAGAGGTCTCTGACAGCTGACTTTCCCAACACAGTATGTCTCTTAACTTCCTGGCTGCTGGTCCAAGAGTGTTAACTGTGGAGCCAAGCAAATGAAAGCTGTTAACAATCTCAATCTCTTCACCATCCATCACGAGGCTGTCAATTGGCCCAGTGGTGAGAATCTTTGTTTTCTTGATGTTAAGCTTCAATCCATATTGAAGGCTGCAGTCCTTGACCTTCTGCAGCAAGCAGAACTAAGAAGGTTGAAGTAAGAAAATGAGTGAGATGTTTTAAAAAAATTAAAACCCTACACACTTTATCTGGACTTGCACTGAACTTTGAAAAGCATGTGTGTGTCTGTGTGTGTGTCCTTTTCTCCATTTTGTTTCTTTTTTTACTAGGTTTTGTCAGTTTTTCACTTCTTTGTTTTTCCCTGAATTCCCTGAACAATCCAGGAAAATGAGTTAATGGAAGCAGGAAATAGACAGCTAGGTAAAACTGTTAATGTAATGTAGCATGGGTGAAAAGTTTAAGCATATTTCATAGAAACATCTGGAATTTCTGTGGACTGCTGCTACTGTGCACTTCTGGATATAATCCTTGGCTTTACATTATCTGTCAAACCAATGTTAATCATGAGGTGTCCCCTATGGAAGGAGTCCTGGTGCTTGAGTGGGTAAGCATTAGATTGGGACTGGAAGGGCAAGGGTTCAAGTTTGGTTGGATCAACAATCAATTCCCTTGATACCAGCAGTCAGGAGACCAAGAGTCCTATTGCACTGGGCAAGTCCACTATCAGAGACCTTTTCAGAAAACTGACACACAACAATGTCAGTTTGTAGACGAAGTTGCACCCAGTTGCAGACATGTTCTTCTCAATCCTTTGTCGTGCATCTGACAGGCAGAGACTTGTTGCCTGGGCATAGTGGTGCCGGAGAAGAGCACCGAAGATCCAACCCATGGACTGCCAAAAGGGGAGCCTGAGTCCTCCTTGGAGGCCAAACATGGAGAAGCATCCTCTCTCAGAGGCTCTTCCTTGAAAGGGGCATCATGCACGGGTAGGTGGAGGGAGAGCGAAAGAGGGGGAGACCCCAAAAAGATGGATTGACACAGTGACTGCAGCAAGGGGCTCCTGGGTATCAGAGACGATGAGACAGGCACAGGACGGGACAGGGTTCAGGTCTGTTGTTTATGGGCTCACTGTACGTCAACACAACTAGACGGCACCTAACGACAGTCACATCAGGAGCTGCTCCCAGGAGAACCACCAGGTAATCTGCTTCTGCAGATCGACCCCTTACGCAGTATCCCCTTCAGCAGACTGTCCCCTTCCACAGTGACCCCTTCTGCAGAGTGTCCCCTTCCACAGTGACTGCTGTGAAGGCTCGGCTGGTGGGCAGCTGGCTCTGCTGGATCCTGTGAGGCCCTCTCAGTTAGAATTTCCAGCTCAGTTACTTCTAGGCCTCAGCTCTAGTCTGTAAGCAGAGGCTCCCCAGCAGTGGGGACTGTCTCGCGAACAACATGCCATTGATTTAGGACCACTCCATGCAAGGCCAGCATTGTGACCAATCAGATGCCCCTAAGATCTAAGACATGGCTGCTGGCCTCCAAAGATGCCCAAGCGTAGAAACCCAGCAGCACGCGGCCCTCTGCACCCATGGGCTGGTCTGGAGTCAAATCCTGAAATGGCAACCGACAATGAGAATGCCACCAGCATGGTACACGTGTTAGGACTTCTCAGAGTACAAAGCAAGACG